CCCATATTTCCTTTGGTTCTTATTGTCCTATTTTTTTAATGATTTCGTTTGGCTCTTATAGTTCCTTGTCATTGCTAAGGCTCTTGTTTCTCTCTTTTATTACAATAACAAAAACACTTTGCTCTTGCCAAGCAGATCAATTATTGATCTGGTTGAAATAAGTCTCCTGGCCCAGATGGATACCCAATGGTTTTTTTTCAATCTTTTTGAGATATTTTGAAATATGATATTGTTCAATTATTGGAAGAATTTTATTGGAGAGATAAAATTAATATTGCTATGAAATTTACCTTTATTGCTTTAATTCCAAAAAAAAAATATCATTGCGGAGATCAAAGATATTTAGCCTATTAGCCTTATTGGTAGTCTATAAAAAATCACAGCAAAGATTTTAGCTAATAGATCGCGCTAAGTGATTCACATAGTTATTAAAGGACCATAATCATCATTTTTGAAGGATAGGCAAATTATGGATAGTATTTTGGTTGTACAAGAATGTATCTACTCAATAATCAAGGATGACAAACCAGGCTTTATTTGTAAGCTAGACTTTAAGAATGCATATGATAAGGTTGATTAAGGATGAAAAACCGGGCTTTTGGTTGTAAGCTAGACTTCAAGGATGACAATAATACATAAGGTTGATTAAAGCTAGACTTTAAGAATGCATGTGATACTATACTGCAAAGTATCATGACTAAAATGGGTTTTTGTTCAAAGTGGAGATTGTGGATTGATGGTTACCCATTTTTCAGTTCTTGTTAATGACAAAGCAATCGGTTTTTTCAAAAAATCAATATGATGGAGCTAAGGAGACCCTCTTTCACCCTTTTTATATACTTTGGTACCTGAGAGATTTAGTGTTATACTTAATGGACTGACAGTACAAAGGACCCTATCAGGAGTTAATATTAGTAATGATAGTCATATAGTATCATATTTACAGTATGTCGATAATACTATTATATTTTGTGATCTCACGGTTAAGGAAATCACTTGCCTATGGATTTTTTTGAAATGTGTGGAACTCTCAACTAGACTTTAAGTTAATTTGAGTAAAACCTAGCTCATTGGTATTGGCTGCCCCCAAATGGTAGTATTAAGAATGACACATTTATTAAGATGTGGGGTCGAGTCCTTACCTTGTACTTATTTGAGAATTCCTTTAGTGGATTCGAGGCCTTCAAGATCAATTTGGGATCCGGTGGTGGAAAGATTTGACAAGAAACTGGAACTTGAAAAGCTAAAACTCTATATATAAGGGGAAGATATATGTTGATTAAATCCACTTTGTCCAACCTCCTCGTATATTTTATGTCATTATTTAAGATTTCAAAAGAAGTTGAAACACAACTAGAGAGAATTATGAAAAGTTTCTTATGAGGAGATGACGTAAGAATGAAAAGATTTCATTTGGTGAGTTGGGAAAAAGTTTGTAGTCCAATAAAAGAGGGAGGATCGGGTGTTAGGGTATTGAAACATATGAACTCAGCACTTTTAGTAAAATGGTGGTGGATGATCCATATACAACCTGAGTCTTCTAGGTGCTTGTTCTGATAAAGAAATATGGAATGGATTTGAACTTTGACCTCATTAAAAATCCAAGAAACAAGACAAGTTTGTTCTATGTTTGGAGATATATTGACTATGAGAGATCTGTGTATCTATACAATTCCAAAAAATAGTGGAGAATGGAGAATTCACTCTCTTTTGGTTTGACAAATGGATTGGAGATGACCCGTTGAGATACATTTTCCCTTGAGCTTTTCTCAAAAGCTTTAAACCCACAAACATCTCTCAAAAAGGCTAGTGGGGGTATTTATACTAATATTGTTTGGTCCATTCCTTGCAAGTATAGGAGAGGTACAGACATATTCATTGAGGAGTATCAAACATTGTTGGAATTATTGAATGGCGTATATTTAACTCTAAATATGGATGATATATTTATTTGGGATCTTACCCCTTTAGAAGATTTTTTGGTTAAGTTAACCTACAATCTATTATTTTTTGATCGTTGAAGAGAGTTGGATGCTGGTTTGTTCAAGATTAAGAAATTTGCATGTGTCTCTTAAAGTGCAGCTATTCTTATGGATCATGTGCCAAGATAAATTAGCAATTATTGACGACTTAAGAAATAGGATGTGTATTATCACTAATGTATGTATCCTATGCAAAGACGGTGATGAAACTTCACAGTATCTTTTCCTCTCATGCCCTGTAGTTACATATCTTTGGGTTTGAGCTTGATAGCGTCTCAATATGTCATTACCTTTGCCCCAAAATGTCATAATATTTATTGACCAATAGATTACACCCGATATTTCAATGACAGAAATTATGCTTTGGAGATCTATTTGGGTTAGCATTATTTGGAGTGTGTGGAAGGAAGGAAATAGAAGAGTCTTTGATAGTATAAGTACATATCTGTCTACATTAAAATCGAATATTTTGGTTGTTGCAGCTGATTGGTTCCTTGCACATAATGATAATGGCTTTATTCCTAAAAGTCTTATCATTAGCAATCGCTTTGCAGTTATTACTATGGGTGTTACCACCAACACTCGTAGTGAGGTTGTTTGGATACCACCACTAGTGAATTCTTTTAAACTTAATTTTGATGATAGTTCACTTGGCAATCTAGGGCCAATTGGGCATGGTGGTCTCATAAAATATAATTTGAGGCACATTATAGCTTTTTACTCGGGTGTTTCTGGTATCACAACAGCAAGTGAGACGGAAGCACGAGGTTTATTAGAAGGTTTGAAATCGCTTTGTACTTTGGAATGAGGCAGAATTATTGAAGGAGACTTGGCAAATGTCATTGCCTGGAGTAAGAGAAATGCCCATATTCATTGGAGATTAAAGACTATTTTTCATCAAATTTAAAATATTTTGTCAGCCTCTATGCAATGGTCCAACATTGTTATAGAGAAGCAAATGAAGATGTTGATGTTCTTGCCAAAGGAAGAGTCCATACTCGCTCTTTGTTGGTTACTTCATTTTTGTAATTTTGTGTCTTTGCTTAAACTTCGTGTATTTTACATTTGAATTAATGATAAATCGTACTTAAAAAACACCACGAAAAAAACCATCTAGGGAAAAAAAAACAGCTGGTCAAAACCATCGATAATAAGATGATGCTGATACCAAATTGATATCCAAGCTTAGGGTTTGAAAAGAGAAAACCTAAAAATGGTTTATTTTTCATGGGGTCCTCAAATTTAAACACAAAGGCAGGTGAGGGCAACACTTAAACCTCACACTCTAAGTCGTCATCCATTAGTTGTTGCGCTCCAAGGTGGTTGTACGGTCACACCCAGTTTGACTGCCAAACCATGTTAACATTTACGGTCACACCCGGTTGACTGACTGCCAAACCATGTTAACATTTCTTGGGCCAGGCAATGGGCTAGGCAGGCCCTGCCTGGCCGGCCCGCACCGTGCGGAATAGGCCTTGGCCTTGTCAAGGTTAGGTTGGGCCAGCCAAGCATAAGAGTACTAAAGACAAAAGAAAAAGAAAAAAAAAACAAAAAGGATATAAGGAAATAAAAAGTTGGGTAGGGCATATGCTCTGTTATGGCCTCGGGCTACGTTTTGTGACTCGGGCCCTAGTTTTTTTCCTGAGGGATTACGCTAGTCCACCTCGTTAGATTTAATAATTACAAATCTCTTGGACCAAATTTTATGGGCGTATGATCATAATAATTCCATGGCCTAAAAGTTACTATTACCCCTACGAGTGTTTTAAAACCCAAATTGGTCGGGTGAACCCAACATCTAGAAAAGCAGTTTGGATTAGTGAATTTCCTATTTGGATCAACAACCACTATTCTCTAGGATGAGAGTAGTTCAATAATTAGTATAAATTAAAAATAAAAAATAGAAAGATCATAAAAAATAAAAATTGTGGGAACCAGGCGATTGGAATCAACGCATTCCATGAAATTTTCCAGTCCCTTTAAAAATTGGTCAATTCTGATGCGGTTGCATTTTTTAGAACACTACCCAACCAAATGTTGGATGGTATTATAGGGATTGAGAACCACTTTATAATTTCAATTAATGAATTGTACAACTTTATTTTCTCTTCGTGACGGTCTAGTAGGTAACAACTATGACCATTTTTTTTTTTTTCCCATGTTTTTTTTCAATATCTTAGGCTTATTTTATTTCAAATTTCAAAAGTTCAATGTCTTTAAGAAATGCCAGAAATCGTTTTGAAAGGGAAAGTATACTATGCATCACATTTGTAGCCAGTGGCACGTGTAGAAAAGCGTATGGAGTGCACAATAAAGGAAAGGAAAATGAGACCATAAAGAAAAGGTACATAAAAAACGAAAAGAAGAAGAAAATGAGACAATTTTCAACAAAAATTTATCAAAAAAATACATTAAAGATCAATTATTTAATAATTTAATAGTATCTTTTGTTTTTATTTCAAGATAAGTATCAAAATACTCGTGACCATGAGTTGGAATGGTTGAAAAAAATATAAATTGAACTATTGAAATAGGTGTATTTTGATATAAATTTCCCTATAGAAAAATTGTTTTGTGTGCGCCTCCACTTTTTCCAAATTTTTCTTGTTGCCTTACTTGTAGACCTTTGTAAATAAAGCGAGAAAATACTCCTACCAAAAAAAAATAAAGCGAGAAAATATCCCATTAATTTTTTTTAAATTTTTTTTTGGGTTTGAGGAGCTCTAAATAGGGTATTGCCCCTAAAACCAGTTGTAGGCCTCTTACAACACGCAACCAAAACTAGTAAAAGAATAAAAGGGGAGTAAAAAGAAGAAAAACACGCAAAAATATGGTTTTATGTCATGAAAAATTTTGAAAATAACTTTTTTATATTTTTATTTTCAAAATAATACTTCTTTTACCTCTCTTGATGATAAAGCATTTCTTGTCATTATCGTGGGTGGTGCATTGGTAAGATGGGGGTTGTTCTTTTGTTTTCCATGTTAAAAGTTTATTATAATTGAAACTTATGATCAACAAGTCTAGCAAGTCTAACATAACATATGTAGGAATGGGCTCAAGTTTATCATAATTGAAACCTATGATCAACAAGTCTAGCATGTCCAATATACGTAGGAATGGGCTCAGGGGTTAGGTGATTAGAGTGTTGGGAACCACAATATGACATCTTAAGTTTCATTTTTATTATTAATAAAAAACCTATCTCTAATAAACTGGCAAAAAAAAAAAATTATATAAATTGAGCGATACAGTAAATTGGAAATTAACAATTACCAAAACCAATGCTCTTCCGAAAGGAGGAGCATATACCACAAATGAAAATTCTGAAACAACCATAATACAATGACTTTTTTGACAGTTTCTGGGAAGATTAATGGTCGAATAAAATAGCATTTCTCATAAAGAAATATACTTTATATACTAGTCTACTTGCACAACTAATTGAGTTACAAATAAATTTTAAATTAATGAAAAATTTCTTCAAAATAATAAAAGTTCATTTAACTATCACATAAATATTATTTAATTTCATAAAAATAGAAAAATTAAGAGACTGGAGATAATATTAGTACCAAACCTTATGTATTAGGACTCCACTTCTAATGATCAATTATTTTTCCTAATCCTTTACAGATCTGATCTACGGGCGTAACGTCAGTAGCTGCGGACAGTGCTATGGACCTAACAAATCTGTATTGTTTGTGCAACGACACATACGCCATTTTAGAGCTTCCTGGAATTCAAGGAGCACCGATATGCTCCTTGCACCGCTACGGACCGTAGCGGTGTCAAGTTTGAATCGCTACATATCCAGCCACATGTATCGGTGTAAAACAAAACAGAAATGTTTCTATGTGACTCCAACAATATATAAGCTATATGTGATCCTACTTCTTAGCAATCGAATGGTCACGATCGCTCATACTACAATGTCATGCCAAACACTATTTTATTTTTTATTTTTTCTACAAAAAATTTTTTGATAAAATTTTGGGTGTCCCATCATAAAATTAGGGCAAGCCTTAGAAAAAAAAAAAAAAAACATTTTATGTGAAAATAAATGACCAAAATTCTTCCAAAAATTTTAGGGGTATTGTAGTAATTTATCATCACTGGAAACATTTTTTAGTATTTTTATCATGTGTGCCCTCGTCAGAGCCATGCATGCCCCAATTTTCGCTTCAAAATTATTTGTAAAATAAAAAAATAAAAATAAAAAACTATGAATTGTCTAATAAAGATCAATCGATTGTTAAGAGTAAGCTTGTGATATTGTGACTCAAGCCATCTCATTTATCTACTCAGGTCTTATGGTTAGGATCAAAGGTCACATTTATCATATTTGTCGGTCGGGTCACCCTCCCAAAACAAAAAGGGCAAAAAAGACAAATGGCATAAATTACAAAAAAATAAAAATAAATAAAAAATAAATAAAAATAAAAATAAAAATAATATTAATAATAATAATAATAATTACTTCTATAATTTGCAAACATTAGAAGGATATTAGTGATACTTTCCAAAAAAAAAAGAATTAAAAATATCATGGTTTTTGCGAAGTGAAAAACAGAAATTAAGAAGTCCAATTTTATCTTTGCCCCATACATGTATGAAACCTTATTTCTCAAGACTCTATAAAGAGATTACAAGCCATAATCTCCATATGTCAATCGTGATTTGGTTTCTCAGATAGCATTTAAGCTATTTATATCCGAACTCTCCATGTAGTATGTTAGTTATACTCTTCTATTTTCAATGGTTATGATTGAATCAATTTAAACAACATGCCATAATTGCATGAAGATCACAAACAAACGAATATTCCGAGAAATTTAGTGCAGAGATTAATGGGCCTTGTAGAGGCACGTGAAAATCATATCAAGTAAGGTTTAAGTTTATCTAAACTAAATTGTATTAATAGGAGGCAATGGACCCAGACCCAACCCGGGACCCAGGGGGTAGACTGGATCTGGGTCCGGGTATGGGTCCAAATATTGGACCCGACAGGTTGGGTCAAGGTTCAAATCTTGGAACTAAACACTGTTTTGGTCTGAATCTGATTGGGTACGGTTAAGTTCGAATTTGGGCCCAACAATATTTTTCGGATCCCAATAAATAAAATCTCTTTAAATATAGTTCAATACATAAATATTTTAATTTTTTGATCGGTCCGGATCCCACACTATAAAGCTAATTTTCTGATCTAATTCCCATTTTCTCTGGTTGGTGGCAGAAAATGGGGATATCGAGCCCCTAGAAAGCACCAACTCGTTTGGAAAGACATTATTATCATCAAATTCGAGGGTCATGGTATGGATTCCTCATATATAAACCAAAATTTAAATCCAGCCAAAAGTAATGCTTTTTCCCTCTTTCCACTTCGGGTGATTTGTATTTTGCTTTACAGCCCATCAGGGTTATACCCTCAACATCAAGTTGCAATATCAAGCTCTTTTCAAGTGAGCTATAGAAAAGTATTGAACTCAATGTGCATATAGAAAAAAAGTACATTTAATGGATCATGGCTATAGAGAGTTTTTATAACTGTACTACGAAGTTTGGTTTCATGCATGTACCCGAACCAAACATTTCCTTGAAGGATAGAAAAACGAAGTTGAAAAACAACATTGACATGGCAAATATTAAAATTTTGGGAAAAGTACCAGTAAAGGGGATGAAAGCCCTCAAAAAATCAATGAAGGGGGCAAATTATCCCATTAAACTTTGAGGATACACATACACATATGCGTGCGTCCGTGCGCGTACACACACACACATATATATATATATATATATATTTTTCATTTCACTTAGATATCTTCTCAATGTTTTAAAAAAAGCCTAAATTACCCTTCTACAGTATTTGAAATGAAAAACAATGAGGGGCATTTCAATAATTTGACCCTCTACGAGGTTTCATCCGAATGATCAAAATACCCCAAGTTCTTCCACAAAATAAATGAGGAACACATTGTTAAATATAGATGTATAACAGCTAGGGGTATTTATGGAATTTTATATACAAATACCCCTAATTGTTTTGTATTAGTAATACCTAACATTGTGCTCCTTACTTGTAATATAGAACATGGGTATTTTTATCATTCAGTTGAAGCCTCTTAAGGGTCGTATTATAGAAATGCCCATGATTGTTCCATACTCCAAATATCAAACAAAGCAATTTCGATATTGAAAAGTTTTTTGACTAGGTATCTAATTGAAATTAAAAAGAAGTGAGCCCTCAAATGTTAATAGATATAGTTTAACCCCTTTAGCAATTTTATAAGGGGTTTTATCCCTTTCAATGATATGATCCCTACATTTTTTTGTATGTGTGTTATCATCTTGCAATAAAGGTGGTCGATTTTGTTTATTTGACAATAGCGTTTAAATATTTCCTCTGTTCTTGTCCAAATTTGGGTCTTGTTTATAGATGTCCGGCGTACCATACCTAACAGTCACATGAAATTGTTTTTTTGGTGCATTTGGGAGAAAGCCGTACCAGTATAAAGGAAATATGTACTAAATTTTACAAAGGGATTGTATATTATTTATCTTTGCTACAAAAAAGCCATAGCCATTAACTGTCAAATTAAATGGCCTGAGATGTATCATGAAGTTTGAGATTTTTAACTTTGAGTCTAGTTAATAATACTTATACAACCGCCCATTTTAAAATCTGATGAAAAAGAATCATTATGATATTAAATAATTTCCATCTACTTTCTCAACCACATGCAACCTAAAAGGGGTCACAGTCACTGTTAGACATTAGCTTTCAAATAAAATGGCTTGAGATGTATTCATACAACCACCCATTTTAAAATATGACGAAAAAGAATAATTGTGATGTTAACTAATTTCCATCTAATTTCACAAGTTACATGCAACCGTAACAAATATGCATTCTATGTGCCCAAAACTAAGAAACAACTGTACAAAGCAAGGTTTAAAAACATAGATCGGTGATTTGGATTGCTCCTCTAGAAAATGGGTATGGTTCAGCAGATCGGGGATCCGGCTGAGTAAACCAACCAATAAAAAAAAACAAAAAAATAACAAAATTAAAAAATAAAAGATATGGTCAGTTATCTGACAAAACTGACAAGTTCTATCAAAAAACCAGCTAATACCGGCCGATTCATAGAAGGAATTGGCCGATTACCGATATTTTGGAGGAACCGGGCCATCCCCTAGTCCTAATCTAGATCACTGTTTTTTGAAACCCTCGTGCATAATTAAAGGCTCAAATACCATATTTTTGGAGGAAGACTAGCTATCAGTCACCGGCCGTAGCAATCAAGATTGGTAAACAAGTTGATTTAGATCTGATTCACTATTCACTTAAAAATAATGTAGAAATTAAAAAGAGAAAATATTAAGAAAATAAAACCATGAGAACTAAGCAAATCTAGTTGTGTGCATTAAACAGTTCCTTCAAGTTATAACTTCCTTAAAAGCATACGCTCCAAGCCCTTTGCCCCACTAGTTAAGTTAGTTTGGCCTTCTCTGTGTAGGGGTTAAGATCTACTAAATTTTGAGCAGGTTAAATGAGCACTCCGTCTCACTAAAAAATGGACGACCTGGGTTAAAATACTTTATAAAGTGCATTTTAAAATTTTGCTTGCTTTGTGATTGTACATTAAAATAAAAAAATGTATATTTAAAATTTAGGATCAAACAAATAACCCTATATGGTTTTTGCAATTTTTTTCATTATATTACTATACATTCCTTGTATGAAATCGCTCTCCTAATTGGCATTCCTCATTATGAAGGCTAACGGTCCAGGTTTGTATAATCCCAGTAATGTTACATGAGGAATGTATTTACTGCTGGGAAGTGATGTAAAAATTACTCCCATATAACAATCCCTCTTGCATAAAGGGTATTTTTATCACAGAAGAATGGGCTTTTAATGGAAGCCCAAAAAAATGAATTTTAGAGAGAGAAAATATAAAAAAAGTGTAGAGAAGGTTCAGGAGGGGTAGAGATTGGGGTGTTTTTGCATAAACCTTAGCATGATTATACTCTTGTATTGGGTTGGATTTTATCAGAATTTCTTTGTGGCAACGGTGTTAGTCGAAGGAGATAAAACTAGCAATCGATTGATGATGTTATTGTTTTTGTAAAATAAACATGAGGTAATCTCTCCACAAAACCAACAAACTTCTAAGTTTCTTCCATTGATAGTGAATCATTTCCTTATCGGTTGCCTATGGATGTAGCCCGATTTTGGATTAATCATGTATATTGTGTGCTTATGGTGCTTTGATTATAGTTTGTAGTGGGTGGTTATGCCATTAGAGTTCTTATTTTACTATCTCTTGATTTCATTTATATTTTTGCCAAATTTATTACACCATATATTCGATTATTAGGGGTTGGATTTCTTGGAATCAATTTATCACCATATATTTGATTATTAGGGGTTGGACTTCTTGGAATCAATTTGCCGATAAATGGTAAGTTGGTTTCAAAGTATTAGATTTGTTGTAATGAGGGAGTTTCACCGCAACAAAGGATAATCGAGATAGCCCTTATAAAGTGAAATTAGTATCACATCAAACCTTTGTAAACTCTCTCTACGCATCCAAAATTGTCACAATCTAACAACTATAATATTATATATTATAATTAAAATTAATACCTTATATTTGGAATTATCATATACACCTCAACTGTGCAAGATGTATTAATTTCATCTAGTACTGTGAAATATTTACGCCCTTGAACTGAACATTTGCGACTAATTCAGACCATAAATAAGATCTCTTATGTGGTCGAATACTTGATATTTACTGGTTAAAAGACAATTGTTTACCTTGAGTAATTGAGGTATCTACTATCTTCAGATAGTTAAGATGCTAGGAAATTTTCTCATGCATCTACTTCTTCTGGATTACAGTGAAGCATGGCATGTAAGAAAACAAAAGATGCCAAATACTCTCGTCTTTACCCTCAAGGGTGTTGGGAGAGGGACGCACAGGGGTGAGGGCGGGAAACGGGGAAGAGAGATGTAGAGAGAGAGAAGGGGATCGGGAGAGGAGAAAATGAGACGAGATAGAGAAAAAGAAAATGGCATAGAGCAGGTTTAAACGACGCCACGGATCTATTAGGTCGTGATGGTTTAAAACAGGAATAAAAAAAACAGTTAAGAAACGGATATAGATCTATTCAACGAAAAATAATAAGTTTGAAATTGAGGCAACTATGGAGGGGTATGTCTGATAATTTTCTTTATAATTACTTTACTATATAAATATTCAACTATAATTATATACTAAAATTAGAATTATTAATTTATATTTATAATTATTTTACTATATAAATAAAAATAAATTTAAACTTTTATCTTATAATAAAATCTAATTAAAAAATATTATTTACAACTTTAACAAAAATTATTATGTCATTTAAATATAAATATATTAATAAATAAAATATAGGATTTGGTTATTAATGTATTATTATTAATTATAATATTACATCAAACATAATTCAAAGAAATATTCCATATCAAATGATTAAACAAAATGATCAATTGTAATATTACAATATTACATCAAACATAATTCAAAAGGATATTGGAAAACATTTCTATATCATAAGAGTAAAAAAAAAAAATTTAAAAATGATTTTTCACTAAGAAAATAAAAATAATGAATAAAATTTGAGAAAATTTAAAAAATGAAAAAAAAAAAAAAAAAAATTGAATAACACACCAAATGCATTAATAAACTATATTCATCAAAAGCCTAATTTTAAAATATGACTTTTCAAAATGCCCAAACCAGTTTGCATTATGGCTTGAAATATAAATTTGTAATCATATTTTAATGAAAAATAAAAAAGCAAATAAATTTACGTTTGCATGAGTTACATCTATTTACAAAGTTGATTCTATCTATTTCCTTTCACGTTTTTCAAAATCCAATCGAATCAATTCGACTAATAATTGGATTAATTTTGACTTAACCAAATACATTATTGGTTTGATTCCTGGTCCAAACTTGATAACATAAATGGTTAGATGTGAACTCAAGAGACTTAGATGTGTCATTAGTAGTACCCAAATTCATAAAGTATTTTTTTAACTTGTGTTGTGTTTTTGTTGGGTTTATGTGACCTTTAAAGGCCTTATGAGTGTGTAATGAAAAACATTTATTATAGTGGAACATAAACTCAGTGAGAGTGTGGTCCATTAAAGACCATACTAAACAAATGATATTTGCGGATACCATACTGTTCTTGACGATCTAAATCAGTCAGTTGGAAAACCCAAGGTACCTGAGCATAAAAATAAACCGAGGATGGTTTTTGGGTTAGCCCTTGATGAGGTTGGAGCTTATCGCTAGATGAGTGAGCCAAGGGACTGTGTGACCATTGTGTGTGATGATAGACCTATAGAGACGGGTGAAAGCTAGATATCCACCTTTGGGTATCCATATTCCATCACACGGCATACATATAGATAGATCGTTCGGGAAAGCTAGATATCCACCTTTGGGTAAAGCATATTCATGTGCAAGAGATACCCTTATGCGCCATATAGTTGTGGTCACATCAAGTCGTGGTGACATTGACTTGTCTCTAGGGAAGGACCTGTAATCCACAGACTGGGATTGTAACTCCTCAGCTCATCGATCAGACTTTGGCGACCCGCTAATGAGCTCCTTCTTGGACTGTGGGTCATGAAAAACACTGGGTCGGTTTGAAAAAGCAAGTGTGGTCTGCAGTCCACAATTGAAGGTGGAGTACCCCGTAAACGTTGATTGAATTCTTGAACCATATGGATCTACTTCCCATCATATTAATTTAATTGTGTTCATTTTATTATTAAATCATTTTAGATTTATTATTTGAATTTTTATAAGTCATTTGATATTTTTATTTCTTATTTTTGGACTTATAAAAATGAAATAATTAATTTACAAAGTTATAATGTTTTAAAATTCATTTTATTTAATTTTAAAATATTTATTAAAAAAATACATGGGAGCCCATAGTGCACATGGACCCACCATGTGGGTCTTAGGTGGGCCCCACATACCATATATGGGTGGCACGCCCCACCCTTGGATACCTTCTCTTGTTGCTTTGCCTTCAAGTCTATTAAATATGGTACCTATATCTGGTAGCATATGGTCAAATATTGATTAGGAAATATTGACCATATCATATCTTGATTATTGAATGAATATCTTGACTTGATATTATTGAAATATTCTTATGGAATATATGATGTGGAATATGCAATTTATGGTATGCACTATATCTTTGATGGATTTAATTTATTTAAATATATTGATGAGAAATGGTTTAAGGAAAGGGGGATAATGGTTCATGCACCTTCCATAATATTGATGGCCCATTTATGGAATGGATGGCTCAAATCTCTCACCCTATAAGTCACTTTGATCAACGGTCCATATTCAATTTCAAGAAAAAAAAAAACTATGGGAAACCTTAAAGAAACCCTAGACCTAAAATTCACTATAAATAGGGGTGCTCCCTCATCTCTACGCACCTCTCTCTCCCATAAACTCTCTCTCTTCCCTAGGGGCCACGTCCCCCTCTCTCTACTCTCTTATTTTCTCTCTCTACTCTCTCTTAAAAACACCCTAAGGGACATGCCTCAATACGGAGACTCTCTCTCTCTCAAGAACTAATCTAATGGTAAAACTAGGGTTTGAACCTAATTATTTTGGAGTTAAGGTTTGTAGAGATTTAAAGGTGGTTACCTAGTTTGACAGAAATTAGCTTTTTCGGTTTGAGATTAAAGCTAGACCGCTGATCTCGCACCATTGGATGTGGTGACTCAGTGTGGGGTGTAAAAAGCCCGATTGAGGTAATCTCCGGCATCTTTTCTTTTAATTGTTTGTTATTTTATTTTATATTCTCAAGCACAGTATTAGATTGTATGAATGACATCAAGTAGAGGTAGAGTTTTGTAGAGATTTAAGGGTGGTTACCTAGTTTGGCAGAAATTAGCTTTCCCAATTTGAGATTAAAGCTAGACCGTTGATCCCGCGCCATTGGATGTGTTGACTCGTTGTGGGGTGTAAAAAGCCTGGTTGAAGTAATCTCCGACATCTTTTCTTTTAATTGTTTTTTTATTTATTTTATATTCTCAAGCACAGTATTAGATTGTATGAATGACATCAAGTAGAGGTAGAGTTTTGTTGAGATTTAAGGGTGGTTACCTAGTTTGGCGGAAATTAGCTTTCCCGATTTGAGATTAAAGCTAGACCGCTGATCCCGCGCCATTGGATGTGTTGACTCGGTGTGGGGTGTAAAAAGCCCGGTTGAGGTAATCTCCGACATCTTTTCTTTTAATTATTTTTTTATTTATTTTATATTCTCAAGCACAGTATTAGATTGTATGAATGACATCAAGTAGTTGAGATTTATTTTACTGATGTGTTATTTATTTTTTTGGAATTCCTATTCTTTGTAAAAAGACCATCTGTGAGTGATCTTATTGCCAAAATTATAAAAGGTGACTATTTTTTAAAAAAAAAAATTATAATTCCCCGAAATTATAGGTTTTTCTTTCGGTTTTAGTCATCAAATTTTACATGAGGGATAGAGATGATGGCCATCTTTTTACACCAAATATAAATAATTTTAGAGTACACAGTCCCATACCGTAGTGGTACTAAAAATAACAATAATTTGACTAATCCATTCCTCTTTCTTTATTATGTAAGTCTCCGGATCATCCGCATCCACATGTTATGCCACTTATCTATTACCATAAAGTCTGTTGTCTTTAATGAGTCTCACCAACCGTGAGCGACACGCAGTCAAACTTATTAAATGTGGCAATTGTTTTGGGTGGAGATGTCAAGTGAGGGAACACAAACCCTAAATCATATATATTTTCCTAATGTAAAACCCAAAACCAGAGAGAGAACAAACCCTAGATTATATCTATGTGCATAATGTAAAACCCATCTCAGCCAGTAGGCTGTAAAAAGTTTTGGTAGTTACTCTGGTTAGGTAACTGAAACTGGGTAGAGCACTGATCTTTGGAAAACTAACATGGTTTTCCCATGCCCACTGAGTACAAAAGTTAAGTTTTCTAACCATCTATATATAATCCTAGGATGAGAGGGCCTTGTTCAAGGATCAATAGAGGGCTCTTCAACTTGACCCACTAAAGAGTTAGCAGGGATCATCCCCCCCATGTCTAAGATGAGGTAACATTTGATTTTCTTTCCCTATTGCATGAGCTTTTTAGGGCTAGAGATAGATCCTCAGCCATGACATACATGTCCTAATTCTTGGTTGCATTCGAACACTATCATCATCATCCGAGTTTATTTGGGGTCGTTCTAGATTCACGAAAAGATGTGGCAAAATTTTAGGTGGACAGTCCTACCCAACATAACCCTTGGGCTTGAGACTGGCATGGGAACAGCCATGGCAGAGTTTTCATTGGAACAATATAAACCAACTTTTATGATTTGAGTTATTTTACAAATTTCTCTTATAGGTCATAGTTTTTCTTCTCAAGGAGATAGTTATTTACCAGGTTGCTTTATTTCTCGAAATCCATTAATGATTTTTCTGAACCATTAAGAATTTGCACCCTTAGATTTCAGGTTCACAAAAGTTGAATTTTGCATATACTAATTCTGGTTCCTGGAGTCGGATCTCACACCTAAAACAACCTATTCTATGTCGTATAAAACTCTTGATTCCGCTATTAGAAACGTTTTTACAGACTTGGTTTCTCCTCAGGTTGGAGGGAAAGGTAGCCATAATCACTGGGGCTGCCAGCGGCATAGGTGAGGCCGCCGCAAGGCTGTTCGTGGAGAACGGGGCACGCGTAGTCATAGCCGATATCCAAGACGAGCTCGGGATCCAAGTTGCCACTTCCATAGGCTTAGAGCAGTGTAGCTACAAACATTGTGATGTGAGAGATGAGAACCAAATTAGAGAAACTGTGAGATTTGCCCTAGAGAAATATGGAAAAGTGGATGTCATGTTCAGCAATGCAGGAGTTCTAGGACACCAAACCAGCATCTTAGACATGGATGCCAAAGAGTTTGATGAGACATTGAGCATCAACTTAAGGGGAATGACTTTGGCTGTGAAGCATGCCGCCTGTGCAATGGTCGAGAAGGGAACTTGTGGTTCAATCATATGCACGGCAAGCGTGTCCGCCTGCATAGGAGGTGTGGCCGCACACTCGTACACGATCTCGAAGCACGCGGTGGTCGGCCTCGTGCGCTCGGCCTCAAGTGATCTCGGCAGACATGGGATCAGAGTGAATTGTATCTCCCCATATGGTATGGCCACCCCATCAGTTTGCAAAGCTTATAATTCTACCCCTGATGAAATAGAGGCTGATTGTAATTATCGCTCAACCCTAAAGGGAGTGACACTGAAGCCCAAGCAAATTGCAGAGGCTGCTTTGTTCCTTGCCTCCGATGAATCATCCTTTGTTAGTGGGCATAATCTGGTCGTTGATGGTGGATTCACAGTCGTTGATCACAGCGCTCCATCAAACAAGTAAAATGGTCTTTATTTCACCTCTATTCTTCCAAGTGAAATCTCTAAGAGGGCAGTATGGAAATTACCAAGAGATGAACGCTTTGGGATTTATTCTATTTTTTTCTCGCTTGGCATGAATAAAACACTTTATAGTTTATACCATTTACGGAACTCCTGCAAAACCCATTGTTGAACCCCGTTGAGGTGTGTTAGCACCAGCTGAGCTAGGTATGTGATGAAGTACTGAAAGTATCTAAGAAAATTTTCCTAAAATTTCTTAAAATTGCAGATGGCATCTAACATGGCCATTTGTAGAAGATGCTTGCTATGTAGGCTGTGTTATATTAGTATTTAATGCTTAGATGTTTTTTAATTTGGTCATCTCTCCCTCTTTGACTAATTTATGATACTCACTTTGTAAACTATTCCTGGTTCTTTCTTCCTCCATACGTCCCTCATCGCTAAATAGTGTTTAAAAAGGTCATCCGATCCAAAATCGGGAATTGACCACCGTCCTTGATATAAAAAACGACATACGAGAGAGTTTTTTTTTTATTTTTTTATTTTTTTGAATAATTTAGTGGGTATGACGTTGAAACATAAGAGATTTTTTAATGTTATAGGTTGATATAGGTGAGAATGGAAGTGAGATATTAGCTGGGGCGCAAGTAATACTACTACAACAACCCCCAGCCCCAACCCATTCTTAAAGATCCGAGGGATCCGAAAGAACCCCGAGAGAATTGATATAGTAAAATCGATGTGATGATATCTCAAACCGGACTTGGGACGTCACAAATCCAATTGCACGTTACATGACCGGTTTGCAACATCATATTTAAAAATGAATAACAAAACTTGTTTTGAGATACTAAAAATACTTTATTTAAAAATAAATAAAAAAATTATTTTTATATACTAAAATTACTTCATTATGAAGGGACCCACAAGAGCCACTGTTGCACGCCCAACATGAGTGCATGGGCCATTATGGCTTTTATAGATGGGTGAGGTTCTGTATAAGGTTGCCTCCTTATACTGCACAAGTAAGGCGCGCCTATAAAATTTACTGACAAGTTTTTTCGGTGTCAAAAAAAAAAAACTTTTGATGACGTTGGGGTGAGAAACCCATGCGCTAACCAACTGCGCCACCACCCTTATAAAATTAAAAGGCACTAATTTAAGTCAACAAAATTATGAATCGCTTCAACTCAAACAACAAAAGGAGGAAATAAAATCGACTGATAAATGGGGATATACAGATTTTATTCTTGACTCTAAAATCTATTTATTGAAATAAGACTTAGTTATAACTGATAATGCAAAGAATCAAGAAGGATAAAATGATACATAAAAAAAATCTACTCATGACTATTTTTATACTTAAAAAATTAAAAAAGAGCACCAATCTATAAATTCGCACTAATCTATAAATTCAGTAAAACTATAAGGAATTCAAAATAAAACCAAAAAAATCTAAAAGAAAAATTGAAAAATTTATGAGGATATATAGATTTCCCCCATACTCCCAAAGTCCAGCCCTTTAAACCAAAATATTGCCACATGATGCAAAGAACGAATATGGATAAAAGAACTCTTAAAACATTAAGCCACAAATATCGTAGTGCCAGACAATGCAAGGAACCAAGACAAATAAAAAGGTACCTTAAAAATCTCGACTATGAATATCTTTTTGGCTTGAATATTTAAAAAAGAATATTAAATAAAAGATTAAACAAACTATGGACAAGTTTCAAATGAAACAAATAAAATCAGTACCAAAATTGACCAGTTAATGGGGATCTGCAGATTTCACCCTTGCCCCCCAAAGTCTAGTCATTAAACTGATACATAAGTTACGCTAGAAAGTATATGTAACCAAGAACAATAAAAGGATGACTTAAAGACCCTCAGTGTAGAATATCCTTAGGCTTAAAACTTAAACAAAGAATATCAACAAAAACGTCAGAAAAAATTATGAGTAATTTCAATTGAAACACAAAATATCAAAAGGCAAATCGACTTATAAATAAAGATCCACATATTTCACCCATAACAAAAAAGTATTGTAATTAAATTGAAATATAAGTAATGCCATGAAAAGAGCCAAGAAAAATAAAAGTATATATTTAAAAGCTTAGCAATGAAAATACTTTGAGTTATAAAAATAAAAAGAAATAATAACCCATAATGTAAACAAACTATTGATAATTTTAAATCAAACAATGAAATTTAGAAGGGAAAACGACAAATTAATGAGGGATCTACAAATTACACCTATGACGTCAAAATCCAGTTATTGAGTTAATACATATCTTATGTTAAACAAATAAAATGACAAATGAAAAACCTCAATCATGAACTATTCTTTATGATTAAAAAATAAAAAGTATATCAAAAAATCAAGTCAAAAATTTTATGTATCGTTTCAAATTAAACAACATAAAGAAAAAGGAAAATGGACTACTAAATGGGAATATATAAGTTGCACCCTAACCACAAAGTCTAATCATTAGGCAAAATATTCAAAAAAACAAGGCAGTTAAGATGATACATAAAAAACCAACAATAAATATCCTTAGGCTTAAAAAACTAAAACGGAACAATCAGCAAAATTATGGACAAGGTCAAATGAAACAAAGTCTAAGGAAAAATCTACAAATCTATAGGGAATCTACAGATTTCACCCATGTCACCAAGTCTAGTCATTGAGTTAAAACCAAGATGGAAAAAAAATAATCTTGAGCCACTTAAACCAAGAATATCTCAATGCCAAACAATGTAATGAACCAAGACAAATAAAAGGGTACTTTAAAAATCTCCACCATGAATATCTTTTTTGGCTAAAAAAATACATAGAAATATCAACAAAAAGATTAAACAAAACTATGGATAATTACAAATCAACCAAAGAAAATCGGAAGGAAATTGACTAATTAATGGGGATCTACGGATCACAACTCTGCCCCATAATCTAATCATTGAAGTAAAAGTTAGGTTATGTCAAACAATGCACGTAACCAAAAAAGATAAAAAGATGCCCTAAAAAACTAAGTAATGAATATCCTTAGGCTTAAAATTAAAAAAGAATACAAAAAAGTCAGACAAAATTATTCAGAATAATTTCAACTGAAACGCAATAGATCGAAAGGCAAATCAATTTATAAATAAGGATCCACGGATTTCACCCCTGACCCCAATGTTTTGTAATTAAACTGAAATATAAGAATGTCAACTAATGAAAAGAACCAAGACAAATAAAAGGGTATATTAAAAAACTCATCTATGAATGTCCTTTGACTTACAACAAGAAAAACAAATAATAGCAAGCAATGTAAACAAAGCATATATGATTTAATATCAAACAACAAAAATTGGGAGAAAAAACGACAAATTAATGAAGGATCTACACATTCCATTTTCACTACTGACCCCAAAATTCAGTTTTTGAGTTAAGACTAATCTTATGCTAAACAATGCAAAGACACGAGAAAATAAACAATGCAAAGACACGAGAAAATAAATGGACATCACGGACACCAGAAAAACCTCAAGAACTATCCTTTAGGATTAAAAAAATAAAGAGGTACATCAAACAATTAAATCAACAAAATTATGTATCATTTCAAATCTAACAACGATGACTAATAAAGGAAGAAAAAAGTCTGATGATGACTGAAGAGTGAAGACTCTTGGTATTGAGTGTTGATTGTTGTGTTGAGTGTTGACTACTGTATCCTAGACTGTATATTTTTTTCTTATTTTTAGTTTCTTGTTTTACTTTCTAGTTTCTAGTTCTACTATCTAACTTTTGTGTGTACAGCCTACAGTGTATCAGACTATTAGTGTATGCTTGTATGGTTTTAATGTTTTAACATTGCATGAAAATATGGATTATCAAAATTCTCTTCTTGACTTCTATCTATTTTTTTAACTGGGATTATGGTCTTATGGATTATGGTCGTTATCAAATATCTTATGGATTAATCATTATCAATCATCACTCATTAATTTTTTCATAAATTTTTTTTAATCAATTGGGCCGCTTAGGTTCAAGGCGCTCGCCTAGGTGCTAGGCGGCCTGGACCCCCTTGGCCGCCTGGGTGCCGCCTAGCACTTTTTGAAACACTAACAAATTGGGATATATGGATTTCACCGCTAAACCCAAAGTCTTGTCATTGTATTAAGACCTAGTTTTAACGCACAATGAAAGGAACCAAGACCGATAAAATGATATATCAAAAACCCAATAATAAAAATCCTTAGGCTTAGAAAATTACAAAGAAACGTCAATACCAAAAGTCCGCAATATTATAGAGAATTTCAAATGAAACAAAAATCGACAAATCTATAGAGATTTCACCCAGTTCACCAATTCAAGTCATTGAAATAAATCCTAAATAGTGCCACATAATGCAAAGAACCAAGATAAATAAAAAGAAAACTTAAAATAATTAAGCCACGAATATCCTAGTGCTAGACAATGCAAAGAACCAAAAAAATAAAAGGGCGCCTCAAAAATCTCGACAATGAATATCTTTTTTGGCTTAAAAATTGAAAAGGAATATCTACAAAATGATTAACTAAAACATAAAGATAATTTAATGGGGGATCTCGTTATAATGGGGGATCTCGTTATAATAGATAATGCAAAGAATCAAGATGGAAACAATAATACATAAAAAAACCTTATTTTGAAAACTATTAGGCTTAAAAATTTAAAGAAATAACAATCCTGAAAGTCATCAAAATTATGAAGAATTTAAAATGAAACAAAGAAAGTCTGAAGGAAAATTGACAGATCTTTGGGGATCGGTAGATTTCACCCCTTGCCCCAAAGTCTAATCATAGAGTAAAAACTGAAATATTCTAAAATAATATAGAGAAGTAAGATGCAAAAACATAAATATTAAAACACATAGCCACGAGTAATCTAGTGCCAGATAATGCAAAGAACTACGATAAATAAAATGGTAAGTAAAAAAACTCGGCCATGAATATCATTTTTGCTTAAAAAATTTAAAAATGAATACCAACTAAAAGATTAAAAAAACGATGGAAAATTTCAAACCACAAAAAAAAAATCGGTAGGAAAATTGACCAGATAATGAAGATCTATAGATTTCACCCCAACCCCCAAAATTCTAATCAATAAATAAAAAATAAGTTATTCTAGACAATACACGTAACCAAGAAAGACAAACGAATTTCTTAGAAAACCTCAGTAATGAATATCCTTAGGCTTAAAAATTAAACAAAGAATATTAACAAAAAATGTCAGACAAAATTATGAATAACTTCAACTTAAACACAAAAGATCAAAAGGAAAATCGACTTATAAATATGAATCCACAGATTTCACCCTCGACCATAAATTCTTG